AAATATATCTCTTAAAAGCGCGGACATTAAGAGCGTTATGAAGTTACGTAACAAAGGAGAAGTTTAGGTGCCAAGAATATTAAGTTCTCCTAACGGCGACGCAAGTCGAAAAGAAAAAAAAGAGAAGTGAAAAAAAGACAAGGAAAAAGAAAATGAAAGTGTCAGGAATACAGCGAGGAGGGAAAAATTAAAGGTGCGCGTTGGGTTGAGGCGGCGAAGAAGAAACGATGGAGTATATATTTCGCTGTCAGAGGTGAAACTTTCGCGGGCAAACCAAACTGAGACAATATTTGCATATCTATTTATGAAGTACGATTCCACGCACTCCACGAGATGACGCGGCGGGCTCCTTTCGCCGCAATACCGGCAAATGTCAGGGAGAGAAACGAAACAATGAAAGCTCTCGAAACGGACGGGGGGAGTTGGAGCTCTCCCCGGCATCGTCTTGTGTCCAGAAGAAATTTCCGAGTGAAAACAGCGAAGCTATTCCCGGCGACCGACCACCCCGTTGCTTCTTCCAGCCTTGCAGTTCCACGGGAAAGCGGAATCGTCCCCGTTACAGTCCTTCCTCATCTGCATTTCGCTTTTATATACTTTCTTTCTCCTTATTTCCGCGCCGTCTTTATGTAGCGAGGCAAGGCAGAAGGAAGAAAAGCACTTCGCTCGCGCAGATATTTCTCTTTATGTACACTTTGACATATAAAAATTTCAACTCTGAGAATAATTCGTGCCGTTTGTTAAACACAGCTTCAGACGGTAACGTTACTATTGTGTTTTCAAGCGTGATAATCAATTTGAAGAACAGTGAGGCCGGATCGTAAAGCAATATGCCAGAAACCACGGGAAAGTAATTTAAATTCTCATTGAAAGATCTAGCTGACATATAAGATGCAAAGTTTGACGTACGACATAAAAAGACGAGACAATCAAGATGAATATTTGTACATCATATTAATGTTAAATACGTGAACTTGTCTCTCTCAAATGCCCGAATTATTTTAAATAACCTTAAACGACAAAATTTTTATTTATATTAATAAAAATAAAATCAAAGAATCTTTAATAATCGAGAACCATGAATCGTTATGCAGTGTGTCCAACTAATGCGGAATATGATAAAGTATCACATGAGATTGACAATAACATTTTAACCGTTAAATTACCCAAAGAGAGACGCGTTCAACGCGTGGACGAACAAGCTGTCGAACCTATCATTGACGTTAATTGTTTGGATAAATATGGTAAAATATTTTTATAAACAGCAGAAATAATACAAAAATAAAAATAAATATAAAAATGCACTATTATTATTTCACTGCTATGCTATTATTAATTCGAATAAAAATATTATCGACAATTTTGTTTAAAAAATTGAAATACATTATAATATATTAAATTTATTATAAAAAAATATATATATATTTTTTACAAGGCAAAAAATGTAAAAAAGGTTGTCCAAGAATCAACGTGATACACGATCAAATACTTCCGCCGAAAAAACCGGAAGAAGAACTGTTATTATTAAAGACAACAAGACAAATCACCCTCGACGATATGGTACACAGTCTTGAGGTGGAATTTAAATCACCGCGAAATTATATACCGTTACCGGAACCAGGACCTCCCCCGCCCATAATTATTCCAAAAGAATCTCTTATCACGAAGAAACTTGAGAATAAAAACAAAAAGAAGTAAAGCAATAAAGATAAACATCAAACGACGAAGCTTTTATATCATCTGTGACAAATATTTTATTTGTGTAAGTAAAGTAAGTCTGGAAAGAAATCTTAATTTGCAATGTATAACGAGCCAACAATAGATAATTAAAGGAATAAACTCAAATGGATTCAACAAAACCTTTTCAAAATATTTACATATTTAGAATTTTTTTTCGATATTTAATTTATTTAAAATTTATTTAAAATATATGACATATATGACAAATGGTATAAAATAGATTGACCGTTCTTTCGAAAATATTGTTACGAATATTTTTCATACAAATAAAATGATAATCATAAATCAATTTTACTGGCGCCCATCCTTCTACCATTATTGCGATATAGATCGAATGATTTTAGATATGTGCGTCTTACAGATTTACGAGTTGCGAAACTGAAGTGTTCGCCACTTTGTCGAAAACACAGAGGCGTGCGCGGGGTCGAATAACGGAGCGATAAATCACCGGTGGTATTATATTCTTGCCCGTCTTGGGAAACAATAGATCATATCGCGTATATACGGATACGCCGGTATTAAACCGTTTTTGGGCTCATTGTCGCCTACCGTCGCCATGACGGCGGCGATCTTTTTAAGCCGCGTTGTAAGTTCCACCTCCCCCCTCCTCTCTCTCTCTCTCTCTCTCTCTCTCTCTCTCTCTCTCTCTCTCTCTCTCTCTCTCTCTCTCTCTCTCTCTCTCTCTCTCTCTCTCTCACACTCACTCACTCACTCACTCACACACACCGATAAATCACCACGATTTTACCTTGCTAAGAGAAACGCGAACGCGAGCGTGTTCAAAGAGAGAATTGACTCTCCGATAAAGGGTTTGAAAAAGGAAGGATCTCCGCAAATATTCCATTAGGATGCGCTCGCTAAGAGCCGGTGTAAAGTATCACTCGAAGTTCTCGTATTGCCTTCAACGAGGGAAACCAGGAAGCCAAGGAGTATGTGGTAACGGAAAGAAATGCGAGAGAATCGATACGGATAGAGTGACAAAGAGACCTATTTGGCCGGAAATGTAAAATATTCATTGTCGAATAGTACCGTAAAAGTGATCTCCGCTTCGATTTTCGAGAGCGGTTTTGGTTTTAGAATATTTAACTTCTTATGTAATTTGTCAATGTTTCTTCTTTCTTTACCTTCTTTTCTCTTTCCTTCACGAATTAATCAATGTTCGAATGAGGTTCTAATTAGAAAAATTTCGAAATCTAGCATTACTTGTATATCTCAAATTTCCTTCCTAACTGAAAAAGCAAACTTCTAAATCCTAGGCCTCGTTTACTTTTGTTACGTCGTATCTGCGCTCAGATCTTTACGACTAAAGCTTTGAGTTTCGTCTTCCCCTCATGAATCAAATGTACTTACGAGTGTCATGATTTGCGACGCATGATTTGCGACCGAGGAAAAATGAAGGGGAAACGGCAAGAGGTAGCACGACGTGAGCTGATAAAAGATCGCGCGTAATGTTTTTCACGCGGTGACGTAACGTCGAGTGACGGATCGTTGTCGGGAAAAGGTGCTGTAGTTACATTTGAAAATTGGAGGGGGATTACTACCACCAACACCACCACCGTTCCCGATGGCGAGGGTCGGCGCTAAAGGTACATCCGCGATCGAGGGATGGGATGACGAAACGCATCATTTGTCTCCGCGGACCCAAAATACTCATGGTACTCAACACGAAGAACATCCGGTGCGGTTGCGAAGCCGTAAAAGCCTGGCAACGACAAATGCATCCGCTTGTTGCGAAGGCGCGCAAGTGCATGCGCAAGTGTTGGCCCGTGCACTGGATGGCTGTAATTGGGCGCTGGTTACAGAATTCATTGCCGCCGTTTAGGGCCTTAAACGGCCGGGAGATAAATCACGATTAAACGCGGCCATCAATCTAAACTCTAACGTGTAACGCCATGTAAAACAGAACGCGGTATTGAGGTCAATGCCGCGAAAGAAGGGTGGGGGGGAATAAAAATCGTGCACGAAAATCTCAAAAATTCGACTTTTTAAAACGATAATTAAATATTCAATTAAAATTGTGTAACTTTCCAATGCCCGCTGCATCATTAATGTCGCTGAATATTCAACGTTACGCTTTTAAATCGATCGCTGTTTGCGATCAATTTCCTTTGCGAGATTAAACATTGTCATGTATCAAAATATTTGCCGCACAAACGTATGCTCATGGAATTCCCTCCGCGCATTGTATCTGCGTAATATCCGTGCGTATCCCGTAATCTGGTGTAACCAGGGGTAGAAATTTCGTTGCCACATTTAAGACAAGCTTAACCATAACACGGACCGGCCTGAGTATCGAATCCGACGTTGAGCAAAGCTGGTGGAACTGCAATTTACATGTGCAACGTACTGCCCTTACATAGCATGCGTATAGTCGGGCTAATGGAGGGTCTTAGTACAGACAGAATTGGTGATCGCGATAATACAAAGATCTAAATATATTTTCCGACAGTAACATGTATCTTGAAATCGATTCGAAAAACATGCACGCATATTCCTTTTTTTAATCAAATCTTTGTGATAAATTTATATGAGAATTTTGAATCGCAAATTGACTTTCCGATATTTTTGTCAAAAAAATAAAATGTAAAAAATTGTTCAAACATCTAAACATCACAATTTAATACAAAAGTTAAATAAAGAAATAAATATTCTGTATAATAAATATTATCATAGAGATAGGCGAAAGGGGAAATATGCGCAATTTACATTTCGCGAAATGTAACGCAAAATGCGGTAATAATGTTATTTGAAAGAATAGAAAGTAATGAGCTTTGGAAGCGTCTTTTTGCAGTCGTGCTCATAAATAGAGCTCATAAATATAAAAGTCTTTGTAGCCTATATTTCTCTATGCAGAAACATTTCATACACGTTTTCCATAAGCCGCTTATGCATTAACGAGTATCAAAGACAACACATATATTCGGAAATTTGATAGTTTCGCCAATGCGAAATCGGCACGCAAAATTATTCACGCGATTCACTGGTTATACACGTTCAAATAATGAATGCGAATTCGCGCATATATCTGCACGATAGGGATGCGTTGTATAATTCCATGTTCATATATTACAGACAAATATAATATGAGATTAATTGAAAGAATAATTAAATCTGAATAATTAAAACCTGAATAATTGCCATAATTAAACTGGAGCTAGATATCTTCTCAAGTAGATGTCGTAAAAGATTTTATGAGAATATTAAAATTATTTAAAATAATATAACTGCTTGAAATTATTTCTTATATTCAAGATAAAATATAGACTTCACCTTTGAGAGACAAGCAATAAAATATTTAAAGAATAATTACCACCGTAGCCTTTGAGCGACATTTAGAAAGATATTCTTTTCTTATAAAAACATTTTTACGACATATATATATATATATATATATATATATATCACGACTAATTGTAATAGCCGAAAACTTTCTACAATACCACGTTTTATTATTTAAGACTGCTGTATTCTGCAGTCTGTATATACAAAATCGGCTGGAACAATCTCGCAAAACTCAACGTTGCCGATCGTGAAAGCATTCGCGTGTAGTTTAAACGATCTTCCTGGCTCCTATTGTATAATTCAATAAAATTTGAATTTATTGCCTTGCTCGCGAACGGCGATTGCTCGGGAACGTTTCGTTTCGGAGAATTCTGCATACGGGAATCTCACGTGTGTGCATACCTTTCCATTCTTTTCGGTATATTTATAAGAATACATAACGTTTACATTGATACATATTAAATCATACTCGATTTTTACTGTTTCGCGCTTGAAATCCCCAGGAAAGGAAGATTCGATTTCTCCGAATTGGAAGTAAACGTCGCCCTCTCCCATATCACACTGTCATTTTCTTATATACCCTCTTGCCGGCGGCGCTGGGCCCTCAAAACGCGAGTTTGCGATCGTGTGCGGCAAATGCACATTTATATGGCGTTCCAGCCAGGAGGCAAGGCAGCTTCCGATCCTTCTCTCCGTACTCGAGACATTGTATTCAGCGTGCCGCGCGATAACCGGCGTTATCCGGACACGTTGTAATTTTCCGCGGAAAATAAACCCGCCACTGTTTCCGCGGCGTGCCGGGAATACACGACGTGGAGTCGACAAGAGCG